AATGAGTTGCAACCACAATTCTGCATGATATGATCCATAAAGAGGTTGAGGTGTATGTGGACGCCATGATTGTCAAGTCCAAGGAAAGAGAGGGCCACTATACCACCTTGAAGAAATTCTTTCGACGGATCAAAGAATACAGACTGAGGTTGAATCTATAGAAGTGTACTTTCAGCGTAACAGCAGGAAAAATGCTGGGATTCTTAATTACACAGAGGGGCATCGAAGTGGATCCTTCTAAAATCAGGGCCATCTTAGAAATGCCACCACTAAGGACTGAAAAAGAGGTGCAAGGCTTTCTGGGTAAAGTGCAATTCATAAGATGGTTTATTTCAAAATTAAACTTGACTTGTGAACCACTATTTGGTCTTCTGAAGAAAGGAAAAAGTTCTGATGGGATGATCGATGTCAATTCGCTTTTGAGAAGATCAAGTAGTACCTTCAGAATCCACCAGTGTTATCGCCGCCAGAGCTGGGGAAGCCTTTGATTCTGTATCTGTTAGTAATGAACACAACGATGGGATGCATGCTAGCTTAAGAATCTAAGGATAGGGTGGAGAAAGCCACCTATTATTTGACTAAGAAACTGCTGGATTATGAGACCCGTTACACCTCGCTGGAGAAAGCTTGCCTAGCCTTGGTATGGGCTACCAGGAAGTTGAGGCACTACTTGTTTGCTAACTCCGTAATTCTAGTTTCGAGATTAGATCCCATAAAATATCCCTTTGAGAAACTAGCATTTACGGGTAGGCTAGGCCGTTGGTTGCTTCTCCTTTCTGAATTCGATTTGAGGTATGTTACTCGCAATTTTGTCAAAGGAAGAGCAGTAGCGGAGTTCTTGGCAGATCACCCAGTAGAAGGGGATGAAGCGGTATAATACTTGTACCCAGACGAAGCTATTCTGCAAGTCGAGGAAGAAATTTGGACAATGTACTTTGATGGAGCGTCTAATCAGTATGGTTATGGGATAGGGGTGTTGTTGATAGCACCGGACAATTCCCATATACCATTAGCCTTCAAACTTCGGTTCAAGGTATCTAATAACAAAGCAAAATACAAGGCGTGTATCGCTAGTTTGGAAGTCGCCCTGGAACTAGGGGCAAAAAGGTTGGACGTCATTGGGGACTCGAACCTAGTTGTGTCTCAAGCGAATGGAGACTAGAAGGTTAAAGAAGAAAAGATGAAGATCTATCATCAGACCTTGGATTTTCTGATTCCTGGGTTTGAGAAGCTCACTTTCACGCATCTACTAAGAGAGAACAACAGGTTCGCTGATGCCTTATCAACTCTATCTGCTATGATAGACATCCGTTTGGAGTCCGGATGCGTCCGATCATCATTGAGTAGAGGTATATGCCGGCCTACGAGACTATCGCCGTAATAGATGAAGTTCAAAATCAAAACCCATGGTACTACGATATCTGAAATTTCTTGGAAAAAGAGGTTTATCCACCAGGGGCAAATGCCAAAGAGAAGAGGGTGATACAGTGGATGGCCGTTCAATTTATCATCTACAGAGGTAAACTACACAAGAGAGGTCATCTGGGAATGCACAAGTTATGTGTCAACCCAGAGGAATCAAAGCACCTAATGGAGGCCATCCGTGGGGAAGAGAGCAGAGCGCACATGAGTGGAGTAATGTTAGCCTGGAAGATTCGTAGGCAAGGTTACTACTGGTCTACTATGGAGGAGGATTGTATTAGTTTTTTTCGATGATGCCACAAATGCTAAATTCATGCCAATCGCATGAACATCCCATTATCGAAGCTGTACAACATGACTTCACCCTGGCATTTCTCAGTCTGGGGAATCGACGTCATTGGCGCAGTCACTCCGAAAGGGTCAAATGGGCATGAATACATTCTGGTGGCAATTGATGACTTCACAAAGTGGGTGGAAGCTTAGTCTTATGCAGTGTTAAAAGCAGCGCATGTGGCTAAGTTCATCCGAAACAACATCATTTGCCGTTATGGAGTCCTAAACGAAATCATTTCAGATAATGGTTCCTATTTCAAGAAAGAAGTGATTGACTTGTTAGAGAAATACAACGTGGCTTTCCATAAGTCATCTACATACCGGCCGCAAACCAATGGAGTTGTTGAGACTGCCAACGAGAACATCAAGCATATTCTGCAGAAAATGGTTGAGACCTATAGGGACTGGTGAGATAAATTGCCATTTTCACTCTAGGGCTATAGAGCTTTAATTCGGACGTCTACTGGGGAAACTCCTTATTCTCTTGTCTATGCAATGGAGGTTGTTCTGCTAATCAAAATAGAAGTCTCGTCGCCGCGCGTTATGGCTGACTGTCAGATAGTAGAGGCGGACTGGCAACAGAGCAGGTTTGAAGAACTGATGCTGTTTGATGAGAGAACGTTGAAAGCACTGTACCATGTTCAGGGTTATCCATGCAGGATTTCTCAATCTGGACTTTTAATAAGAAGGTTAAGTCCAAGAATCTTAAAGAAGGGGATTTGGTGCTAAAAGACAACCGAGCTCCTATCCATGACCCTAGGGGCAAGTTCAGACCCAATTGGATGGATCCTTACATCACCAAAACTATCTGGTCGGGTGGAACTGTTATTCTTATGGACCTAGATGGCCTAGAATTTTCCCAGCCGATCAACATGGACAAGTTGAAGAAATATTATCCCTAAGAGGCTCGCTAGGCCGAAAACTCGAAAGGGTGACCTAGGCAAAAGTTAGAGCACAAAAATTGAAAATAAAGAAAAACTGAGCTCGCAAGGTTGAAAACCTTAAAAGGCGGCCTTGGCAAAAGTTAGAGCACAAAAAGAGAGTGTTAATACTCGAGTGAACCAGAACTGAACTATGTAAGGCTTGATTCCCATCTTCGGGATACGTAGGCAACTTCTTCCTGAAGTTCGGCTGTAAACACCTCCAAATCAACTTTTCTATCCATGTGTTGATCAGGTCATCTTTGCCCGTTCTTTATCTGAATGTTCGGTTGCGATCCTCTCCGAGAACTGGTTACCATGCTGAGCAGTGCTATTCCGTCAAGGGGCAATTTGTGATCTTTGGATTCGGGGTTGTACATCTCGAGGATAGATTCCGTGTGTGTCAAGTGGTGATCCTTATCGAAGATGGTTTTGAAAAGTTTTGATAGAAGTTACTATACGCTTCAATTGTAGAGCATCCATTTTCTTATTATTCTTCTTGATTGTCTTATATCTTTCCATTTCGTACTCTGTTCGCTTCTGTTTCGCTAGAAAACCTGGTTTGATCCATTGTTTCTCCCCTTTGGCCATTTTGGTAACTAAAAAGCATAAATTGATATCAAACATGAAATATAAAGCATAATTTTACTTGAAGAGACGCAACAAAATATAGCATAACCATGTAATGCATTAAAAACATATGTCCATATAGAAACCTAAAAACAACAAAAACTACATATCATAATCCATATCAGGTTCCATATCAAGATCCATATCATCATCAAGTACGCCAAGTTCTTCATCTTCTTCATCATCTCTACCATCTCTCTTTGTTTTATTTGAAATAACCTCAGCTTCAATATCATCCCTATGAAATCGAATAATATCTTCAATGTTGATCGGGACAACTGAGTTAATGTTTTCTTGTTGGAATGCATCATTAAATTCTGGTTGATCTGGTGGTTCTCCATCACCAACCTCTGGCACATCAAACACACCTCTATGTTGGACCCGTTGCACGACTTGCCAAGGTTGCCCCCATTTGGTGTCATTCAGGTAGAACACTAGCTTAGCTTGACTAGGCAAGATAAAAGGGTCAGATTGATACCATCGGCTTGTGACATCGATGCTTGTGCAATATGTGTCAGCTCGTACTGTTCTACTTCTACCAGTGTTACCGGTGTTGTACCATTCACATTGAAACAAAACAACTTTATTTTGACACATGTACTCAAATTCCCAAATATTGCACAAGTGACCGTAGAATTCGCGCATCTCTCCCTTGTAGTCCCCTTCGGTAAGCACACCACTGTTTTGACTCTTACGACGATTGTCTAATTCCTTCGTGTGGAATCTGACACCATTGATTATACAACCCGAGTACTCTTTCACTAGCAAATTAGGACCATTCGCTAAGGACCACAATTCTTCGGTTGCTTCTGGTGCCTCATCAACTCTCAATCTATTTATCTACATCCACATGCAATGTGCAACACTTGAATTATGTTAGTAATGTTTGTATTTTATACAAGCCTAATAGTGTTTGGCCAATTGTGAATATTAAAAATGACTTACATATTCTTTGAACCACTTTGGAAATTCCTTCTGTTGTATCTGAGTTATATCTTGTCCACTGGGAATTTGTAACAAATTCTTGTGTTCCCTACTCAAATAGATTTGGTTAATGTGTGAAATACTACTATTATTAATGACTAATAACATGATAATTGTTAAAATATATATAATTATAAGAAACACGTACTGAAGATACTTCTCTATCTCAGGGCTATTGTATAATAAGAACCAATGAGCAATATCACGAAGTTCCTGTGACATCTCAACATGATTTCTGATTTGGCCAATAGGACGAGCAGTTTCGGTGAATATTATCAAACCTTCACGACGAACTCCATAATCTTCATTTCGTGCATCTCGATTATGCACAGTTTCAATCCCTTCAAGGTACATTGAGCAAAAAGTAATGCACTCCTTGACAATGTAAGCCTCTGCAATAGAACCTTCTGGTCGAGCTCGATTGGTGACAAACTTTTTCAAAGATCCGAGAAACCTTGAAGAGATAACCAATTAGGAGTATGGTTAGGCACACAACATAATCTATACCTTTCATTTGAAAGTACAATTTTAGAAATTACCTTTCAATCGGGTACATCCACCGATATTGCACAGGTCCTCCGAGAATAGTCTCACGTGGCAAGTGAATGGCCAAATGAACCATCACATCGAAGAAGGCTGGAGGAAAGATCTTTTCAAACTTACATAGTATGAGTACTATACGTTCCTCTAATTTCTCCATTTCACTTCATTTCAGTGTCCTTGAGCATAGGATCCATCGGGATTTGTTGTTAGCCACAATTCTTTCCTTATATTCATGTCTTCTAAATCCATTCGTGCCTTATCTGTATCCTTGTTCTTTCCATCAATTCCCAACATCGTTCCAAAAACATTTTCACTAAAGTTCTTCTCCACATGCATGACATCAATGTTGTGTCGAAGCCTCCTTTTCTTCCAATACGGTAGCTCATACAAGATGCTTACCTTTGTCCAATTTGGGTTCTGACGAGGTCTTTTCCTGTTGCTTGGATGTTTTCCATATGTGACACCCGTCACGCTGCCCAATTGTTCTTCAATCTTTTCTATCGGTATCACCAAAGATCTCTTCCGTTTTTCATGCTTGCCATTATATGCTCTACTCTTTCGCCTTTCTGGGTGGTCATCAGGCAAGTAGCATCGATGGTTACTGTACGCAGTCTTACTTCTTAAAGATTCAAAATATGGTTCATCATTGCAAGTGTAACAAGAGTAATGACCCTTTGTTCTCCATCCAGAAATGTCACCAAATGCGGGCCAATCATGTATCGTCCACAGCAAAGCTGCACGCATGCAGAAAGTCTCACCAGTCGAGGCATCATAGGTTAATGTACCATTTTTCCATAATTCATTCAATTCTTCCACTAAAGGTCTCATGTAGACATCAATATCAATTCCTGGTTGTGATTCACCAGGAATAAGTAATGATAGCATGAAAAATGGGTCCTTCATAGCCAACCACGGTGGCAAGTTGTACGGAATGAGTACGACAGGGCACAAACTATATGAGTTATTCATATTTCCGAAAGGGTTGAAACCATCAGTAGCCAACCCTAGCCTCACATTCCGAGGCTCCAAGGCAAATTCAGGATGTTGTGTATCGAATTCCTTCCACTCATCACTATCTGCAGGATGCCTCAATACACCGTCATCTAGACGTTTTTCCTTGAACCATTTCATATCCTCGGCTCTCTTCCTCGACATGTACAACCTTTTCAATCTCGGTGTTAACGGGAAGTATCGAAGAACCTTACGAGAGATCTTCTTACCTCTACCATGATTTGTCTTGTATCTAGAAGCCTTACAATTTGGACATTTATCCAATGTTGCATTCTCCTTCCAAAAGAGCACACAATCGTTTACACAAGCATCAATGAGCTCGTATGACAAACCCAATTCACGTAGTATTTTTTTAGCTTCATAAGTTGACTTTGGAACCAAATTATCCTTCGGTAAAAGTTTTGTTAAAAACTCTAGCATCATGTCAACTGACTTATTACTCCAATGGTTTGTTACCTTCATATTAAGTATCTCGATGACAAATTTTAACAAAGTGTAATTTGTGCAACCTGGGTACACCTCACGTTTGGCATCATTCAATAATTTATCAAAAGTGCGAACCTCCTCCTCTTGAGTTGTATTAGTTGATTCCCCTCTTATTCGATCTTCCACTAAGGCATCAATACCTCCCAAAACCTCATTGCCCTCAACGGGTATATCATGATGATAAGCCTCGTTTGATTCACGGGGTTCCCCATGCACATGCCAGATAGTGTAAGTTGGAATAATCCCATGTTGCAGCAAATGAATTTGAACAATTTGAAATTTTTGACGAATAACATTCACACACTTTCGACAAGGGCACAAAATTTTACTGTCTCGATCAATAACCGCCATTGCAAAACGGAGAAATGATATTACCCCATCATTATATGCCCGACTTATCCTTCCATCAACCGTGCTACCTAATGCAATCCAACTCTTGTCCATGTTTGACTATGCCGACTTAATTAAAGTTAGGTGAATAGGACAAATTTTATATAGAAAAATATATATATATATATATATATTTCAATTAAAAAAAATTTCAAGTCCAATGATTATACTGAGTTATATAAATTACAACCATACATAAATCAAGTGAGAAAATAGCCAAAGCAATTTAGCGTAAACATAATAAGTATTCACAACCAAAACATAAACCACAGCAAAATAACCATCAGTAAGAAGACAAATATCATAAGTCAGAGAAAATTTAACCAATAAAGCAGTGAGCTAAGAGTAAAAAGCAGATAACATGGCACAGAAAGAAAACCCACAATATGCCACATTGAGTTTCTAAAGCAGTCAATTTAAGTACTCAAATATCCAAATGCAAAATGATATGATTGAACTACACGTATTTGGAAAAATATATATATGCCCCGAATACTAGAATTGACAAATCTATCAACTAAATTGGGATATTGAAAAAATAAGACATTGGGAAACAATAACTATTCTGGCTCACATTTCACTCGGTAAACAAAATGTGATTAAATTTTGCAGAGGAACTTAATAATGTACTTGAGGAGCTACGCATATAAGAAATGAACAATGCCAATATAATTGATAGCCACATGCGACAATTCCAATGAATGCCTCGAGACTATAATTTAGTACTTAGCCTGTTATTGCAGTTAGTACTCTGTTTGATTTCTCTCTACTCAACTATATACGAAGTCCAGAGAAGTTAAAATAAGATATGCTAATTTAAGGGTGTAATATTCCAATTTTCATTAAATTGATAGTTGTGAGAGAAAAAATAATTAATTAATATGTAATATATAATATTTTATCTTATTGATTATTTTAATATTTTTTATTTTTATTGACTATTTTAGCCAAAATCTATCATCCCAAACATATAGACTCAAACTCCCCTAAAAACTTAGAAATGCACATGAGAGAGAGGACTGGGGCCACTGTTTTGTTTGGGAAGTGTTGGATTGGAGATGATAACAGTGAATGGTTTGTAAGAAAAAGTTGAAAACCCTTGAAAGAGAGAATAATTCCTTTATGGAGCCAAGGGGCTGTGAACTGTTACTCACTGTTTTAGATAATTCAAAGTATACCGATTTTGGATGCAAAGCTAAGGGTCATAAGCGGTGCAAATAAATTATTTTAGCCAAATAAATAAAATAAAATAAAAATAAAGAAAAAAGATTCACACTCTACCCTATACCAGTACATGATATAATATAGTATAAAAATTATACAGATACATCAATAAGAAAATCAACAAAAGAAAAGTTTCTTGACGAAAATTGCAGATATACAAAGAGAGTGTACAATATACAGATACATCAATAAGAAAATCCATAACATTTCATTTTTTTTGTCACTAATTTTCTTTGGCATCCAACATGCCTTTTTAAATGATGGTGCATAATGCTAAGGGCACAAAGGGAGCTAGTAAAAGTAATTCAAAACATAATTACCAAATAAAGTATATAGCGTAACTTTAAACTTAATCTCACCTATTTTTTCAGCAAAAATTAAGATTTATTGATGTAAAAGAAAAGGTTATAAAAGTACACCGCAAATACAAAATGAAACTTAAAGCTGTTTTGGGAATAAATTAAAAAATATTACAAAAATAGTCAACTCTTTTCTTTCCGTTTTTATATGTTTTCTTATAAAAAAAAAAATCAAAAATCAACTTTTCAAAACAACCCTTAATATGATTAACATTCACAATTCATTTAATTTTTGAATAAATTTTTCAAGCTTTGTAATGTTGCTATAAATGAGAATTAGTATATAGAATTAGATACAAACATGGGGTCATTTTAGGGCAACTTAGAGCTGACTCTCTTATATGTTTCATATGGGATTTTAGGAATCGAAGATTGTAAACTAATCAACTCAACATTTATATGCTGAGAAAGTAAAGCATGCAGTGGTCCTTGAGAACAAAGTAGAAATGAAAATTGAGAATAAATACTAGTGTAATGGAAGACTAAACCATAGACTTAGGCTAGAGAATCCTTTTTACAATTAACTTAGCATTATTACCTTTATTCTTAAACATAAACAACCCCACAGAATAAGAATTTCGACATGCACATTCTCTAGAGTTGAGCTTAATGAGTAAATGGACTAGCTAATGCCACAACAAAGCAACTTAACATGCCATAAGGACTTACTAATTAGGTCCCCCACGGTAGATAATTAATAAATACTTATGGTAGTGATTTTAGCAACATAAGTACTAAACCCACCAAATAGTTTTCTAAGTAGGTAATAAGACTCTCAATGGTGTAGCTAGAAGAGTCCGTGTGAGGCTAAGTAGCTAGAAACCCTTAACCAAACACAATACCATACCATAGGATGATAGGAGAGTTACATTCCAGAGATGACAGATGCAAAGCCTAAATAGGCTGTGACTTGTTACACTGACTGACAGTGCTCTAAATATTCTGATATTTCCTCCTCCTTTGCCTCTAGTGATGTCTCTAGAAGAAGGGTTATTATCATCCCATGGAAGAGGATAAGGATATCGGAAAGAAGGGTTTTGATAGAAATCAACTCCTCCTACTTCATTACCACCCATTATTCTAGTGAACTCAACTGGCCTCACCGCCTGTTGAGGTGGGTGGGCAACAACAGGCAATGTTGTCTAATATGAAAGCATGCTAGCAAAATAGTGCAAGAATTTTAGTATTGAGACTCCCATCTTTCTCTTGTTAAATACATCTCATACAAGTCCATATTCATTTACTTCTAGGTTGAACAACGAATTACTCATAATTCCAAAGGGAGATGAGAAATAATAAACACTGATCTTATAAATTCCTCTTCCCTACATGTCCTCTTTACCAGGATTTTAGAGGATAATGGGGCTATCACAAACTATCCTCATCCTAGTTCGGCATTAGTCTACTACACAAACAACAATAAATCTTAATCTAAATGGAGAGGTTTTGGGAAAAGAAAAGTTCAATTAGACTGTTTACCACAATGCATATAGACACCTTTCTATTCCAAATAAAGCAACATGGACACAAAGAGATATTAATACAGGACAATGAGAGTCAACTTTGAGATTCTAAATTGGTGGGACAGAAGTAATAAAAATGTGTTCACATGAAACAACCTAACAAGGGACCTCAACTGTATCCTTAGGTTATGATCTTTAAATTACTTAAGCACACTTTAACGCACAATCATGAAGTATAGATAGAGACCACAGTTCAAGTTCAGAAGAATCAGAACCCAAATGCATACTTTCAAGGAAATTAAAATGCATACATTAGCGACTAGGCAATCAGACACCTTTTTCATAATTTTGCTTGACAACTAAAAAATTTATTGACAAAAAAGAATCCACCTTAAAAGGTGTGAATCCTATACACTCAAAGGTAAAAACTTTACATCAAGAGCCATGTATAGATCTGCAATGAAATTTAAATATAAAAAATATAAAATTAAAAAAAAAAGAGTCAATATATATAGGACACGACACTCCTAGATTCTTAGCAACAAAAACAAAGAGCATAGATCTTTTTAAGCTGCTAATTGGGAGATCCACATCCACTGAAATGAAGTAAAGACCAATTACATGAGTGACGGAGAATGAAAGCATACATGTCACCAATGCTTTTCTAGAAATGGTATAAATTTTTGATAGAAATCGACTCCTCCTACTTCATTATCACCCATTCTTCTAGTGAACTCAACGGGCCTCACCGCTCGTTGAGGTGGGTGGGCAACAATAGGCAATGCTGTCTGAATCTTGTACGCTTGGACTTACGACTCTTGCAGGTCTCTTTAGGCTGTGGGTGCTTGTTGGTTGGAGCTGCTACTTATTTCCTGTAATGAGCTTCTTTGCAGGTCCTGCTGGCACCTCTTCAGGGATGCCAAAGCAGCAGCCAAAAGCAACACCACAGTAGCCAAACAGCAGGCCAAACCAACCATAGCAGCAGCCAAGCAACCCCACCAAAGACAGGACATCCAAAAATAAGTATAAGGACCAACTAAAGACCTATTTTCCTACATCCAGCAGTTAGCACATCCAGGAAATCAAGGCAAATGGGCAGCAGCAAACAAGCAGCTTGAACTAGCAGTGCCATGGACATGGATTACCTAATAGAAGATGGGCTATGAACATGCCTAACAGAAGCAGAAATTAACAAACTAAATCCATGTGCAGCTCACATGCATTCATGGGTTCTTATATGGTTGGAACTTGAAGCACACAACAATAAAGGTTCAATTATCACTGATATATTATAGTTGATATACTCCCCTCCCCCCTCCCCCCCTCCCCTTTTTTTTTCTTTCTTCTTTATTTTCCTAAGAAAATGTTCCACTCCCCCCCCCCCTTTTTTTTTTCTTTCTTCTTTATTTTCCTAAGAAAATGTTCCACTCCCCCCCCCCCTTTTTTTTTTCTTTCTTCTTTATTTTCCTTTTTTTCTCTTTATTTATTGGGAATGTATAACATATAGTATTTTTGTTTTGGTTTGTGGGTGTAGATGGAAGGAAGAAAATGGGGGGAATTGAATACGGATTGCTTGGTGAATGTGCATGGGAGAGTTGGAATTGAATCACTGCTTTTAGACATTCCCTTTGTGTGCAAGTTATGGTTCAAAGCCATACTCAGTTCTCTTTGGTAGTTCAAAACAACATCATTTCACTTCAACGGCAAAAAAGAAAAAAGAAAAAAAGAGGAGACAGAGGAAGACCAAGAAGAAAATGAGCAGAGATAAAGACTGGAGAAAGCTCTGCATTCAAACTGAAATGAATCTCTCAAACTTATCCTAAAGAAACATATAAATCATGGAATGGGTACAAAACAACACATTATTCAGTTATTTATTTTTATTTTTAAATTATTCAATCATTCCAAGCATGTACAAGGATCAGGCATGTACAAGGATGATAAATTTAATTTCAATCTATATTTGTTTCAACAGCCAAATAGAACACATTTGAAGATTTTCCTAGTT